AATGAGTCGCTGTAGAAACCGAATATTTTAATGGTTGCGGACGAAATAGCTCAAATCGAGAGCCAGCACAAATGCAATGACATGTGTAATAAAACGTCATCATGTATTAAAGAAGAGTGGCTTGATTAAGTGCTGGAAATAGCGGATGATGGGCACAGAACGGTAACAAAACTCAGAGACATTTACAGTCACACACAGGAGTATTGTGCAAACTGTACTTCGGATGTTTAGATAGCTATAGAAGAATTCACGTTCACGTTTTTTTTATATATTTAACTTACAGATCTCAGTTTAAATGCTTCAGTTTGTTTTGATATTATATTATGTTAGGCCTATATTATAAACCTAATAATTGACCTTGTTTTTTTAATGGAGTCTCTTCTGCTCATCAAGGATGTATTTATCTGATTGAAAATACAGAAAAAAACTGTAATATTGTGAAACATTATTGCAATTTCTAATACTGGTTTCCTATTAGGGCTGTGCGATTTGGGGAAAATATCAAATTGAGTTTTTTTTGACCGATATTGCGATTGCGATTGCGATTTGATTTGCGATTTTAAATTTGCAAAGTCAAGCTTCAGCTCAATATTGTCAATAATGTGCAGCACAGTATGGGTATCATTACCCTGCTGAAAAAAACAATAGAAACCATCACAGAAATTCTTATAGTTTCCATTAAACCATTACAAAATTCCTTTTTGTTTTGGGCATTATTCCAATAGGAATTACTGTTGTTCTATTGGTTGCCATCTGCCAGATTACATCCCACCAATAGAATCCATCAAATAGACACCATTATAGTTTACATTAAAACCAATACAATTCCCATTATAACCCTGAAATCCATTAAATTTTTTATTGTGTTTTGGGAGGGGTTCTATTGTTTTGTTTTTTCAGCAGGCAAGATTATAATGGTATAACTACTTTTACAGAATTAACTTAATTACTGAATTTCACAGAAAATATATGTTTATTTTTTATAAATAAAGAACTGTCTCTTAAGTCAATTATTAAAGTATTACACTGATTTATTCATTTTAAGAGCAAGTGGAAAATGTGCTGAATGTTTCATTTCATCCAAGTGAAATTAGCAAGCAGTTAGACTGAATTTACATTCGTTTTAAACGCGGAGCCAGGCGCGAGTCGACACAGATTGCGCGCTTGCGTCAAGCCTCGTCTATACTGCCAGATGCACTCGTGAAGACTTGCGGTGCGGAGCCGGGTGCGAGTATAAATGAGCATTACGAGACGGGCTGCGTGAGTGTGGCAAGCATGAACGGCTCGTCCGTGACGCGGGATTCGCGCCGCGTGGGGCAGAGAGGAGCGAGGATGAGAAGCATTCACAGACACAGGCTGTGTGTGCGCTCTTCTGAATTGGGAATAGCCAACATGCATTAATGGTGGGTGTTTACGCAGTTGGTTAGAGCAGTGCTGATTGGGGAGAACGGAGGTGCGCTCACTCTATTGGTTAGTAAGACTGCAACTCAAGGCTGGCAGTCATGCATATGCTCTGGGACAGAGTAATATCGCGTCCACATCGCAGGCTTTGCAATTAGGAAATCGCAACGTCTCAAATCGCGATTACGATTCGATTTCGATTAATCGCACAGCCCTATTTCCTATTTGAATATACTTTAAAATACAATTTATTACCGTGAAGCAAAGCTGAATTTTCAGCATCATTACTCCAGTTTTCAGTGTCATATGATCCTTCAGAAATCATTCTA